GTTTTCGTAATGTATATTTGGAGGTGAATTTTTGCTTTTTCCATATCCATGAATCAAATGATTATGCAAGCGATGAGAAATACACAGATTTTGTAATGATATTTGGTTGGCCTTCCCCTGTTAATCTGAGAATAGGTAATGACAACATACATGCTCACGTCATTTTGTGTCTGCTAGTCACTCCCATAGCATGTCATTAAAATTTACGATGCATCGAAACCATATATTGATCCTGTCATAGAAAATGACGAAAAGCAGAGGATTAGCCGAGTACTCAGTGTCGTGCATCACGTGTTATTACTAAACTCGGGGGGGGGGCTAGCATAAACACTGTTACAATCTCATGGTTGTACATGAAAGACGTGATAAACACCGATTCATATTCCTACATTTCATCAGTCTTGGACTGAAATTGAGGAGACCGACGTTTGGGAGCCTGCCTTTCCAAATAGTCTTCCTCCAAGTAGCTAACCCAGGATTTCTCCCAGGGAGGGGGGCCTCAGACCAGAATTTACCTCAACTGCTCAAGCCCCCCCCCCGGTTGCACCACACACACGGGACTGGGATGTACGGCTATATCAGAGCTGGTAGTTTAAGATGTGGGTGTATATTAGTTTTCGGAAAGAAAGACCCCCAGTTTTTCGTTCTTTCTGAAAAAAATTGAATTGAGCTCGACTTTTAACCCTTGACAGAACTCGTTTTATAAAAAAGGCATTCACTGGAAAGTACTGACTTGGGGTTCCCGTTGTTATCTTATGCTTTCTGCCTTCTGGACCGGATTCTTGTCACATTTATAACGTTGAACAACGAAAGGAAACATGGTTTATACTTCCAAGTAAAGTTGTATGGTCATTTGCCTTATACAGTGGTTCGGCAGGATCATGTTATTTTATAACAATGCTGAATGATTGGAAATGCAGTGCACTACGCCAGATATTTTGACGTCATTTCTTTGAAAGCGGCGTGCAGGAATCGGCTTGTGATTGCTATCATCAGAACACACTCGGTACCGTCCTGTACCGCCACCTGTTTCTAACTGCAGTAGTCCGGAAAAGGAAAACATTTGTTTGGCAGAGGGTAGATTGGCTGATGAGAAAAAAGTGCAATCAAAGCCATGCCCTGTAAACATATCAGAAAGTGTGTTGTATAAGAAAAACTGTGTTGCCCTCACATAAAAAACATTAGGAGCTCGGTCGGTCGAAGATGGGTGGGGGGTTGTACGGAGTACACATGATACAGATAATTTTTATAGCTCACCATTTCTTTTTATTGAAGAATGCACAAAAGAATCGCTACATGGCTCAAATATATCCCTTGTTTGTAATGTCTCTATTTAGATAAGGATGTCATTCTTTTTGACAAAGCACGTAGCGAAATCAAAGGTTACAATCTCATTTGTACATCAAGGGCAGGTGATTTTTGCCGATTCACAGTTCCATATTCCGACAGCCTTAGGACTAAAATTCAAGAGGCTGACATTATACGAGCCTGTCTTCCCAAAAAGTCTTCCTTCAAGTGGCGAACACATGATTTGTCTTGGGGAAGGGTGAGGCCTGGGACCGGAACCCCCCCCCCCGCTCATGACGCTCAAACTCCACCTCCCCAGTTGCACCGCAGGGGACTCTTAGAGCTTATTTATTTAACATGTTGATATCTATTGCATCTTCAGTTTTCAGAATGCGAGAAAGACCACCCCGTCAGGTTTCTCTTTTCTCTGAAATATGGACATAGAATTCAATTGAGCTCGACTCTTTGATAACCGAGGAATTCATTGGAAAATACTAACTTGGAGTTCCCGTACTTACCATATGCGTTCTATCTTCCGGACCAGATTCGTATTACATTTGTCTTTATATTTTTTTGGAAATTCAGCTGCTGAGAATTCAACTTACCTATTTATCATACGTGCTTTCGGGGAAACATCGAACTCTGCTGTGCGCACGCGCAGTGAGTTTCACCAAACTGGCTTTTAATGGACTGGAAGGTGAAACCCTCAACACTCGCCAAGAAATCTCTCCCTGCGCGCGTTTCAACTTTCACAGTCAGCACGATGGCAAAGTGGTTGGTTGTTTTGGGATGCTTTGCGATGTTGTTCGTCTTTGCTTTCAGCCAACATGGTGAGTATATACATTCTTTCTTCCAAGAAGTCTTCTAAAAAAGCGTTTTTTAAGTCTTCAGTTATTTGAATATTACAAATAAAACCAGACATGTGTTCCAAAGACTTTAATTTCAGTTTCATTCGAATTCTTCATGCACGATCAACGATTGCTTCGCTCGTCTTTGGACGAAGTTTAGGGTGCTTTTCCTTAAACCCACAACATCCGTTATTTTGAATGTTGAACTCTTAAACTTAAAACAAAACTAACTAAACACACAAAAAACAGTCTATGAGGTGCTACTGCCGACGCAATGTCAAAATCTTTTCTTTGGTGTGTATATTTGACTTTTTAAAAACTTTCAAACGATGCA